TGTATGCCCTGATACTGACTTAACAGGGGAGGGGGCTAGCTCTACACCTTACCTGTAACCTATCTGATGCAGTGTGTATACGCTCCCTATCGATAGGCGAAACGTCTCGAGTCGAGTGACATGAAAAATATACAATTTCGTCACATCCGTTAAATAATACAAATCGTTCACTCAGTCATAGCTTGACAAAGGGACCAGTCGGTCTTGAAACGTTGCGACACGTTTAATGCGTACATTGTTTGTATAAAAAGTAAAACTTTGATATTACTTCAATGGTTATATTAAAATACGGAAAATGACCCTTAATCACTTTAGACAAGAGTTTGACAGCTGGTGCGGACGTGACTGAGATTTCAACACACACATTTATTACGTCACTTAACGAAGAAATGACGGTAATCATGTATACACACGTTCTGCGCAAACTCTATATGACATTACCGTTATTGATTATTTATGCACATGCACTAAGAACAATATAGGCGAAAATGTCCTTTTTACTTATTTACATTTTTACACTTGCGCCGCAGTGACATATTTTGAGGCATAAAAAACCTTCACATCATAAAAGAATGAACCGAAAGTGAGAAGTGTATTGAAACAATCATGACATAAAAGTAAACAAACAATGCAAAAAACACATTTGACTCTCGTTTAGGATTTTTGGACAAGAAGGTGTTTATTCCGCCCTGAAATCACGGCAATTGTACCTATATATATTGAAATTACCACAATGTATACTTCTTTCCACGGCAATGATATCAAAAAAATCATAATCAATCGTCTCTTCGAAATCGCCACAGGTTATTGTAATCATCTTAACACACTGTCTTTCGGTATCAGTTCTGTCCGGCTCAAATAACACGACTCAATAAAATCCGTCTTCCGAGAAGGCAGCAGGCAGCACGAAGTCGACCTTGAATCCTATGTTTGCTCTTGGTTCGTATAAAATCTCAACAATCTCAAAATACATCCTCAATATCAACACATAGACGGAGGCATACTGCATTACAGAATGTTTTAATTTAGCAGACACGCCTTCTCCGTGTGATGTCATTAAGACGCAACAATAGAAATCATAATGATGAAATATATAACTGTGCTTTGAGTGTTTATTTAAGATTGTTACAGTACAAAATATGACATAAAGTTAGAACGAACTGATGAGAACAGATTTCGCAATTGTGTTTCATGGACTTTATCTCAAAATTAAGCTTCGAGAAAAGACACGTGCTATGAGGTTGTTCCATGAGTTCATCTTTTCAGAGATTCTGGGTAGAATTTGATTAACGTGGTCTATGTCATTTCCTGTAATGCAGTGGGCATAGATATTGCCTATGAAGTGAATCTAAAAGCAGTATTGGCTTTCTCCTTAGCCATTTAATTTTAACACACTCACTACGACGTTTAGTGATTATCTTTGGCCTTGCCCTTGGCCATTACATTTTAACACACTCACTACGACGTTTAGTGGTTACCTTAAGCCTTGACCTTGGCCATTACATTTGAACACACTCACTACGACGTTTAGTGATTATCTTTGGCCTTGACCTTGCCCATTACATTTCAACACACTCACTACGACGTTTAGTGATTATCTTTGGCCTTGTCCTTGCCCATTACACTTTTATACACTCACTACGACGTTTAGTGATCATCTTTGGCCTTGACCTTGACCATTACATTTTAACACACTCACTACGACGTTTAGTAATTATCTTTGTCCTTGTCCTTGGCCATTACATTTTAACACACTCACTACGACGTTTAGTGATGATCTTTGGCCTTGACCTTGACCATTACATTTCAACACACTCACAACGACGTTTAGTGATTATCGTTGGCCTTGTCCTTGGCCATTACATTTTTATACACTCACTACGACGTTTAGTGATTATCTTTGGCCTTGTCCTTGCCCATTACATTTCAACACACTCACTACGACGTTTAGTGATTATCTTTGGCCTTGCCCATGGTCATTACATTTTTATACACTCACTACGACGTTAAGTGATTATCTTTGGCCTTTCCCTTGGCCATTACATTTTTATACACTCACTACGACGTTTAGTGATTATCTTTGGCCTTGTCCTTGGCCATTACATTTCAACACACTCACTACGACGTTTAGTGATTATCTTTGGCCTTGCCCTTGGTCATTACATTTTAACACACTCACTACGACGTTTAGTGATTATCTTTGTCCTTGTCCTTGGCCATTATATTTTTATACACTAAGACGTTTAGTGATTAGATTGACTAAACACGAAATTCTTGCAAACTAAGAATGTCAAGTTGTTGTTTTACTTTGATAGGGTTACATTGTCAGTCCATATCTTCCCAAACTTGCTTTACATGTAATCTCTCTGCAGAAATTGCTTTATTTGAAAACCAATGACTTGGAGCATACCAGACACAGACAACATACAATTTCACAAAAAATAAATTGAGATTAAATTAATATTGGTATTCAACATATGTTTAACACTAAACATTTTAATGTAAATGATAGTAATATACTCATTAAATACACTTCCTGTAAAATTAAGCATTCATTTTATTTCATATTCAGAGTATAAGGTCGGTAATAATTGCATATATTTTGTTTTCATTAAGAGGCAGATATGAAATTATTCATCATCATAAATTACGTAAGTTTGATTTAATTTTGTCTTTTGTTTCATTAATTGTAAACATCAACATGCCACATTTTCCTTTTAGTTATATACTTCATCAAGATATCCTTGTCTGATACCCATCTAAAAACCCTTAATTCTAGTATTACGCTCCCTTATGTTCTTTTCACCCCTGTTATATATTTCACAATAAAATAGAAAGCCCTTTTCCCGCCAATTTCAGGATAATACAGGTACATAACCTTGATCCTATCATATTTACATTTGCTCTCCATTACAGCTTTATAACACTACATGTACCAAAGCCAGTTCCGTGTTATGAGACCATTTCGCAGGCGTAGTAATATCTTTAAGGGTCCGACTTACTACCAGATCGTTATTCCTTTCAAATAAGCGTTAAACCACTATTTTTGGATTATACGAAAGACTATTATATAATGTGAATTAAATATATATTGATGGATTCAATTATGAACAATGTTTTTGTGTATATTTCAACGAACCATGTTTTTACGGGGAAAGTCACGAGACAACATCCCGTGAGCAGTCCCATGGGCTGTTCGACCTCTTGAACAAGCACCGAAAAGTTTGGATTTAAAAGTGCGTTGAAAACTAAATAAAAAATAAAAGTGTAAATATAATAATAAAACAGCAGTCTGGTCCGTGTTATGGTCAAATTACACGAAACAGGATTGCAGACAAATAATCACAACGTTAGCGCGTTATACATATTGTCTACGAGCCTGTTCCGTGTTAAAGGACCATAGCGCGGAAAGGAATGTTATTTAATACTTAAATGTCCATCAAACGAATCGCAAAACAGATAAACGGTAACATGGACTGTCTATACAGTAGGGTGTCGCGCCTGTACAATTTCCAAAGGATGCGTTTTAGCCTTAAATTGGTCATATCTTACATGAAACCAATTAATAACTTTCTCTATGCCTTCGACTTGGTCATGACATGCTCAGGGTGTATCGAGAAACGCAAGTAAGCGAAACCCCTTACATGTCGAGAACGATTATTTAGGACACAAGTTAAAGGAATTTTAACGTGTTTTTGCTATGATCTTTATACAAGATAAATATAAACAATTTACCAGATAAAATTCCATTCACATGACCAACCTGCAAAACCCAATATCAAGACCAAAGATTGCTTTGTTCTTAAAATGTATTAGAAAAGTGTCCATTTTACTGTAATAAAATAATACAGGCTTTATTTGTATTTAAAAAAAAAATGCTTTTAACTTGCTGATGGAAGCATTTTATCAATTTTTTAAATATAGCAATTAATTTTGTGTAAGTCGATGTAGTTCCTTTTACCATTAAATATATTCTCAAACAAAATCTGTTTGATGTAAGCTTACTGTACGCATTCATAATACGTTGACCCCGCCTCTTACACATTTGTGTTGTACTCATATGTAGCACACTGCTTGTATTGTAAAACGTCGAGATAGAATAAAAAACATTTGCTGTACTTAACTGTAAAATTGTTTCTTCACATGAAATGCTTGTGTATAATAAAGTGTTGGTATGTAAGTTGCAGGTCATAGAGGAAGCCTAGAAAAGGGTAGTTTTGCAGGTGGTTTACGTCAATCATAAAATTTTCTTATCAATATAATATATCATTTGTTAATCTCTGCTTCTTCGAATACAGCCGAATATAGATTGGTAGAGTCAGAGCTGACAAAGTGTGTTTCCTGTCAATAAAATCGTAAAACAAAAGACGAACTCTTCGTTTCTTCTGAAAGTGAAACCTCTGGATAGGAGAAAAGTCGTTCGAATATTATGTTTCTTAATTAATACCGTTAGTTTATCATGAACACTCATCAACCATACATATCGATAATGAATATACTGACACCTAACAGACAGAATCGTGTCTGTCTTACAAACAAGCATAAGAGCGGGTAGGTGCACATCAGACAAAACTTAAATACGATTATTGTACATTCATATCCGTTGGTCAGTTAGACAGTAATCAGGTGTCCACCATATGTATTGTGCATACATTATTACAACAGCCATACGACGATGCGTTGGGACACATAATAGAACAGGCAGACATCGTATATACACACAGTTGAAACAGCCAGACGTTGATGTATCATACACACTTAATCACACAGCCACACGTCCATATTTCATACACACATGATAGAACAGCCTGCCCTCATGTCTCAAGTTCACATGAGGGACAAGTGAAGTCTTATGCACACTTTATTAAAACGTCAGACGTCCAAGTCTCATTCACTCAAACTATTCCGTCTTTGCATATTGCAGAGTTATCTTCTCTTGGGAGCAGGCATTGATTGTTACGTCACTTGTTTGTGAGAGAAACGTCATCATTTTTTCACAGACCAATGACGTAACAATCAATACCTGCTCCCAATATAAGATAACTCTGCAATACGCAAAGACGGAACATCATCATATTCATACGTCAATATCTCATATACACATTAGTAAAAAGCGAGACATCCAACCCTCAAATGGTCATGACATAACATTCCCTTTTACGCACATGACATTCGTACATCGATATCTTATACACATATTATTAAAAAGCCAGACGTCCAACTCTCATACATACATAATAATTATAACAATGCGTTAAAGACAAGTGATATTTATACGTCGATATCATACATAAATGGTAAAATTGCTTAAGGGTGTGTTTTTTTTACACCTCGGTACAACAGAGGTATTAAACAATAAAATCATCTTTCTGTTGTATCATATCTCAAATTGACAATTACACAGTCAACATATGTTTAGCAATAATGTCTTAAATTGGTCTTCCGGCAGCTTATATGCTCTTTAACTGACGTTCAGTCATGATCAATCACACTTCACCGCTGTCAAGGTCGTTTCGCTCCACCGGTGTGTAAGGCATTGCAAATGGATCAGTCCGGCACATATCATCACAATCCTGTAACAGTTGGACTGAAGGTTATACAATATCACCAGGGAAATTAGGAGAACAAAATAAGAAGATAAAACAGGGTTAATTCGACATCAAACGCAGGAACATCGCAATAAGAAACAAATAACAAAGGAAAATTATGAATACTGAAACAACACATTACCTGAAGGGAATAACTGAACCCTTCTTTTATGATGATAATCTGAAAAGATATCCTTTGAGATCATATAGAATATTTAAACCACCATTATGTCGTACTGTAAATAATTATGAAAGTTGTTTTCCCTTTTATGTTTCATTAATTCAATAAAAAAAATCTCCTAATGTTCATAATATTAAATCTATCAAGCAGTTCATAAGCTTTTTAGGTCAAAATCATTATGTTCAATCTGAAACAACTGATATTTTCAAATTGTCTGGAAATCGCAACATAAACATAATTCTTTGATAAGAAATGGTGCAAGTAACCTAAATTACGACCTTTATAAAGATCATTTAGTTGAATCTCCACATTGTGAATGCGAACAAAGCTATGAAACTGATTACCACTATTTTCTTTAGAATTTAGATTTTTTGTTGCATTGTAATGATAAAGGCATACATAACATAGTATGCATAGCTATGTACTTTCCCCTGGGCACCACAGATTGGGTATAACCATACTAGCTACACGAAGTAAATACTGCTTTTGAAAATGTACAAACAGTTATAATATGTCCTAGAGTTGGTGTGACTTTACCAGTAAATTAAATATATGTTTGGTGGAATTGGCTTTTGAACTTTATTAATGGATGGCCAATATGTGACATACGGTCTTTGTGTGGCCTGTTTCCTTTGGGAAGATAATGCCAAATCTACCAAATATATATGTTCTATCGCTTATGGAGCACAATGGTAAGAACATAACACTTAGAGAATGGAGTTTAGTAAACAGCATATGGAACACAAAGGTAAGAACACTACACAGGGAGGAAGGATTTCAGAACATAGCATACGGAACACGGAGGTTATAAAATAACATAGAAATCACAGAGCTTATATTCTTATTCCAGAATATTTTATAGTATTCATATTAACTTTAAGTGTAATTTGGAAATAAACCCGGACTGTATAACTCTTTTACTAACTAGAATATTTTACATTCATTATATTTATCAATGATAAATAGCCGTTTTCCTTAAAACTTAATATGGTTGTGATTGTGTTTTTTGAGATTTTATTACTATCATATTTGTTAATATAAATACAAATTGTAATAATATAAAATGTATCTTTAAATCATCACAAGCAAAATATCTTTCATGTTGACATCGAACCTTTGACATCAATACAGAAGATTCTGAACATTCAATGACAAAGCATAGAAACGGAGATTAGAAGAGGGTGTTTGATGATATCGAATGAGAAAACAAACAAAAAATGAGCAGGGAATGATAAATTGTAAACGGTAACAGGAGAACCAGAGACAGACGTGTTGCGTGAAATATTTTCATCATCTGTTCCTTATCAGTAATACTTATGCTAAAACAAATGTGACCCTAAAACTTACTTTGGATACACCCTTACTCTTAGGGTTTTCCCCTTAGATTTATACGTATCCATCTATGGCCTTTTTTTAGACATAAGTACAATTTACAATTACATAATACATTTTTTTAATAATGAAGCAGGCATGCCAAACATCAGAGGCTTTGCAGTTAAAGAAAACTATAAGAAATAATTACCAATCCAAGGCATTGCAATATTAGTTATGAATGCTAAATGAAAAATGGAATATTGAATCCTTTAGCAAAAATCTTACACTTTCTTAGAAATGTATTGATAGATAATTAAACATGTAATTTACAATAAATTACATAATGCTTGTTAATTCGGTAGTAATGGATATGATCATAAAAGAGGCTGGGTCACCCCTTACCACCTTGCCGGAATACACAGTTGTAATATGAACATTGTTTGTGTTGAAGGGAACAATTGAAATATATTTATTTTACATTACATAAAGTTAACAATAGTCTATAAGACGCCTTTATGACTTTGGCAGTTTGGTGCAAGTGCTTACAGCTTATCAATAATATCTTGTTCAGTTATGTGAATGGTAAAGAAGTTATGTTGGGGTCGTTCTATAGCTCAGATCAGATCTAACGAGACGAGATCACTTCAAGAAGGTGGGTAAAGAAGTGTGAATTGTTGTATTACTTTCAAAGTTTACTTATTCAGTTTAAAGGATATTAAGCTTTATTAATGACAGGAGAAACTTATTTTAAGTTCAAAAGTTCCTAATCGAAAGTCCCTCCTAAATAATCCGCGTTATATCATTACAGTGTGAACAGTGCTTAAAATCAAACACATAAAGGACTGATCATAGAAAATTTGCCGGAAAGGGTGGGGAGATCGGATACAACAACAATACTAAGAGAAAGGACGAAGCTAAGATCATACATGACACAGGTAAAACGGAGCAAAGGACATGATATTAGGAAAACGAAGCATAGATAGTAAGCATAATATAATTAGCATACATACTAGCTTAGAAATATAATACCGGTTTAACAGAACGTATTGTTTAAAGTTTTAAGGATTTGGTAGACTTTCTTTCCTTAGGCTACATTTCTTATGTTTCGGAATAAAGGAGTTCCGGAGCTTAAATATAAATAATTGTTGTATCAAAAGAGATGTAATTTATAAATTAGGATTTTGTAGGCACTCTTTTCCTTGCGCTGTATTTCTACATGAAAATATGAAATATAGATTTTCGTTCTCTTGAATTGTAATACTAATGTCTGGAATGAACAACCTCGCCATATGTTGCAGTAAATATGTTTATTTTGGATATTTTCTGCAAAGACATACATATATTCAAAAGGAACCCTTTTTGTCTTATTTATAATGCCTAGTATATGGATAGACAAGACAAGAACATAATGCAGGGGAACTGGAACTCAAAACATTTCTGTTCTTTACGGGGTTTCACGCCACTTCTAAGGTTATATGAAGGAGGTTTCTATGGAAACACTAACAAAAAAGAAATAGTAGAAAAGTAAAGAAAGGACATAGACCCCAAGTAATGTGATGGGGTTAGCAGAGCAGGTTAGTTTTCTTCGATGTACCTTTAGCAGAAAACACATTTAAAAGCCTGGTTTGCAGGCAGCACCTCCTTACTCGCCTCTTACCATTGCATGTGGTTAGATACAGCACCCCTACTCTTTCCTCGAATCTGTAAGGGTCGGCTAGGAACGAAACACAGGTAGAATGGAGCAAAGCAAATAACAAGGTAAAATGGATCAAAGCAAAAAACACGGATAGAATGGAGCAAAGCAAATAACACCGGTAGAATGGATCAAAGAAAATAACACAGGTAGAATGGATCAAAGCAAATAACACAGGTAGAATGGAGCTAAGCAAATAACACGGGTAGAATGGATCAAAGCAAATTACACAGGTAGAATGGATCAAAGCAAATAACACAGGTAGAATGGAGCAAATCAAATAACAAGGTGGAATGGAGCAAAGCAAATAACAAGGTAAAATGGAGCAAAGCAAATAACAAGGTAAAATGGATCAAAGCAAAAAACACGGATAGAATGGAGCAAAGCAAATAACACCGGTAGAATGGAGCAAAGCAAATAACAAGGTAAAAGGGAGCAAAGCAAAAAACACGGATAGAATGGAGCAAAGCAAATAACACAGGTAGAATGGATCAAAGCATATAACAAGGTAAAATGGATCAAAGCAAATAACACAGGTAGAATGGTTCGAAGCAAATAACACAGGTAGAATGGATCAAAGCAAGTTACACAGGTAGAATGGATCAAAGCAAATAACAAGGTAGAACGGATCAAAGCAAATAATACCGGTAGAATGGAGCAAAGCAAATGATACAGGTAGAATGGAGCAAAGCAAATAACAAGGTAAAATGGATCAAAGCAAATAACACGGATGGAATGGAGCAAAGCAAATAACACAGGTAGAATGGATCAGAGCAAATAACACAGGTAGAATGGATCAAAGCAAGTTACACAGGTAGAATGGATCAAAGCAAATAACACAGGGAGAATGGAGCAAAGCAAATTACACGGGTAGAATGGAGCAAATCAAATAACAAGGTAGGATGGATCAAAGCAAATAACACAGGTAGAATGGAAAGCAAATAACACAGGTAGAATGGAGCAAAGCAAATAACGCAGGTAGAATGGATCAAAGCAAATAACAAGGTAAAATGTATCAAAGCAAATAACACGGATGGAATGGAGCAAAGCAAATAACACAGGTAGAATGGATCAGAGCAAATAACACAGGTAGAATGGATCAAAGCAAGTTACACAGGTAGAATGGATCAAAGCAAATAACACAGAAAGAATGGATCAAAGCAAATAACACAGGTAGAATGGAGCAAAGCAATTAACACAGGTAGAATGGAGCAAAGCAAATAACACAGGGAGAATGGATCAAAGCAAATAACACAGGTAGAATGGAGCAAAGCAAATTACCCGGGTAGAATGGAGCAAATCAAATAACAAGGTAGGATGGATCAAAGCAAATAACACAGGTAGAATGGAGCAAAGCAAATTACACGGGTAGAATGGAGCAAATCAAATAACAAGGTAGAATGGATCAAAGCAAATAACACAGGTAGAATGGATCAAAGCAAATAACAAGGTAAAATGGAGCAAAGCAAATAACAAGGTAAAATGGAGCAAAGCAAATAACACGGGAAGAATGGAGCTAAGCAAATAACACGGGGAGAATGGAGCAAAGCAAATAACACGGGAAGAATGGAGCTAAGCAAATAACACGGGGAGAATGGAGCTAAGCAAATAACACGGGTAGACTGGGTCAAAGCAAATAACACAGGCAAATAACACCGGTAGAATGGATCAAAGCAAAAAACACAGGTAGAATGGATCAACGCAAATAACACGGTAGAATGGATCAAAGCAAAAAACACAGGTAGAATGGATCAAAGCAAATAACACGGGTAGAATGGAGCTAAGCAAATAACACGGGTAGAATGGGTCAAAGCAAATAACACAGGTAGAATGGAGCAAAGCAAATAACACGGGTAGAATGGAGCAAAGCAAATAACAAGGAAGAATGGATCAAAGCAAATAACACCGGTAGAATGGGTCAAAGCAAATAACACCGGTAGAATGGATCAAAGCAAATAACACAAGTAGAATGGAGCGAAGCAAATATCAAGGTAGAATGGATCAAAGCAAATAACACAGGTAGAATGGATCAAAGCAAATAACACAGGTAGAATGGTTCGAAGCAAATAACACAGGTAGAATGGATCAAAGCAAATAACAAGATTGAATGGAGCAAAGCAAATAACACAGGTAGAATGGATCAAAGCAAATAACACAGGTAAAATGGAGCAAAGCAATTAAGAAAGTAGAATGGATCAAAGCAAATAACAAGGTAGAACGGATCAAAGCAAATAATACCGGTAGAATGGAGCAAAGCAAATGATAAGAATGGAGCGAAGCAAATATCAAGGTAGAATGGATCAAAGCAAATAACACAGGTAAAATGGAGCAAAGCAATTAACAAAGTAGAATGGATCAAAGCAAATAACAAGGTAGTAACACGGGTAGAATGGAGCAAAGCAAATAACAAGGAAAGAATGGATCAAAGCAAATAACACCGGTAGAATGGGGCAAAGCAAATAACACCGGTAGAATGGATCAAAGCAAATAACACAAGTAGAATGGAGCAAAGCAAATAACAAGGTAGAATGGAACAAAGCAAATAACACAGGTAGAATGGATCAAAGCAAATAACACAGGCAGAATGGAGCAAAGCAAATAACACAGGGAGAATGGATCAAAGCAAATAACACAGGTAGAATGGTTCGAAGCAAATAACACAGGTAGAATGGATCAAAGCAAATAACAAGGAAGAATTGGTCAAAGCAAATAACACATGTAGAATGGATCAAAGCAAATAACACAGGTAAAATGGAGCAAAGCAATTAAGAAAGTAGAATGGATCAAAGCAAATAACAAGGTAGTAACACGGGTAGAATGGAGCAAAGCAAATAACAAGGAAGAATGGATCAAAGCAAATAACACCGGTAGAATGGATCAAATCAAATAACACAAGTAGAATGGAGCGAAGCAAATATCAAGGTAGAATGGATCAAAGCAAATAACACCGGTAGAATGGATCAAATCAAATAACACAAGTAGAATGGAGCGAAGCAAATATCAAGGTAGAATGGATCAAAGCAAATAACACCGGTAGAATGGATCAAAGCAAATAACACAAGTAGAATGGAGCGAAGCAAATATCAAGGTAGAATGGATCAAAGCAAATAACACCGGTAGAATGGGGCAAAGCAAATAACACCGGTAGAATGGATCAAAGCAAATAACACAAGTAGAATGGAGCAAAGCAAATAACAAGGTAGAATGGAACAAAGCAAATAACACAGGTAGAATGGATCAAAGCAAATAACACAAGTAGAATGGAGCGAAGCAAATAACAAGGTAGAATGGATCAAAGCAAATAACACGGGTAGAATGGAGCTAAGCAAATAACACGGGTAGAATGGATCAAAGCAAATTACACAGGTAGAATGGATCAAAGCAAATAACAAGGAAGAATTGGTCAAAGCAAATAACACATGTAGAATGGATCAAAGCAAATAACACAGGTAAAATGGAGCAAAGCAATTAACAAAGTAGAATGGGTCAAAGCAAATAACAAGGTAGAACGGATCAAAGCAAATAATACCGGTAGAATGGAGCAAAGCAAATGATACAGGTAGAATGGATCAAAGCAAATAACAAGGTAAAATGGATCAAAGCAAATAACAAGGTAGAATGGAGCAAAGCAAATAACAAGGTAGAACGGATCAAAGCAAATAATACCGGTAGAATGGAGCAAAGCAAATGATACAGGTAGAATGGAGCAAAGCAAATACAACAGGTAGAATGGAGCAAAGCAAATAACACCGGTAGAATGGAGCAAAGCAAATAACACCGGTAGAATGGAGCAAAACAAAAGATTTTTTTCCGATCGCGGTAGAATGGATCGAAGCAAAAGCGTCCTATCCGGGAATATAACCCTGACCCATTTCTTAATGAAAAGCGAGTACACCTTCCACTTAGTCAGCCTACCCAACTTTATATATTTATAGATATACTATTATATATATAATTCGTTTCTGTGTCCTTTTTTTACAATTTTTCTAGCTATGTACGGGGTAAATAATGCTTTGACATAACGTTTTTCATCTGAGCATAGAAATGGATTTTCGTTGAGAAGTCGAAAACAATCAACGTTTTAACTAGAATGTGGAATAGAAAATATATAAGAAACAACCCTAATGTGTTCATGATCATGATTCTTTTTCGGACGAACTGTTTTCCCATACCTTCGCAGATGATGATCCTTCCTCTGATTTTCGGTTAAAAGAACCATTTCCAGAAGTTGCCCTCGGTACATAGGTCGTCTCCAATAGACTCACGTTAAATGTATTACTTCGCTTCATGTCCACGCTGCCTAGTCTCTCCCTCATTAATTTCCACTTCCGCCGAACGACGTTTATAACTTCCCCATTACAGAAACAGAAAAATAGTGCGACAAGTACGCCCTGTAAGAAAGAATGTTGATACAAGGAAATTGTTTGTCATGGTATTCTACATAGCATATCCCTAAGCTTCTAAATTGCATCCAATAATTCGCGTTGTAATTTGTTACAAATGAAAATAACACCGTGACGAAAGCGTCTATATCTACTCTTTTTGGTAGGTATAATGATATGACCCAGGAACACAGGAACAGACTGTTAATGTGTTGTTTATATAACAAGAACATGGCATACGTACCTGATATGACGTAAGCACAGCGGATATGATGTCATAGATAGGCGACGGAGTGTCTGGCTGAAATGGGATCACAAAGTACTGTAGGCCCAGCAACGGTATTAGGATAAGANAAATTTTGGGTTTAAAATAGCAATTTTTGGCATTTTTTGGTAATTTTTGATGTGGTAACCATGGTTTTCACACAAGTGACATACATCTTGGTCGGGGACTTCTCGTGAATGTAGGAAAGCATGATAACAACCACAACTCTTGACAACATACAGTAGTTTACGTAAGTATAAAGGTACACAGTTCCTGAATGCTAATATGGGTCCCTAGTTAAATACCTTTCTTACAAAATTCATGTGTTTTAATGCCAATTTCAATTCTACTCTGTAAAATATAGTGGAAAAAAAAATACATTCTAGCAAAAGGTACAACTTTTGTTTAATTGTTTTACAAAGCTTTAGACGATACACAATAATGTAACGACTTAAGCATTTATGTTAAATCTAATGAATTTTACTACTTTTTTATATATAAATGTAGCACTTTTCAAATGTGTTTTTTTATAATAATCACTGGCTAGCTCCGAATATCACAATTTAAGCACTGTAGAATGCTTTCTGACAAACTTATGTCACAGGTTTTTTAATATACTTGTTTTGTTGTCATTACACCAGTTCCCATTTTGAGGGTATGGCATTAACTTGGTCTGACCTATTCCGTCTTTGCGTATTGCAGAGTTATCTTCTCTTGTGAGCAGGTATTGATTGTTACGTCATTGATTTGTGTGAGCAAATTACGTCTTTTTCTCAAAAACTGATGACGTTACTCTCACAAACAAATGACGTAACAATCAATACCTGCTCACAAGAGCAGATAATTCTGCAATACGAAAAGACGGAGTATGTTATTTACATAGGTCGTTGATGCAGAAGAAAACGCTTATGATTTGGGCTTTTGACATATTAATAATGAATACACTATGTTTTGTGAATTTAACTTTTTTTTAACATAATTTAAGGTTAAATTATCACCCTTTGCATGATTTGCTAACCTTTAAATTATTCCTTCACTCGAGTTTTTCTTCTCTATTTGGACTGCAATATTCTCCAAAGTGGCAGGGAATTATTTTTTTAATATTTCGTTTCTGAAACCTTTAACTTTCGCCAACTAATAGACAACAGCCCTAGTAATAAACCAATTGATAATTTGACATGCTTTCCAATAAAATAAAAATAAACTTTTGGGGTGGAAAACGTTTTATCGATTTTTAATAAAGTAACGTATTTTCACGCACGCATGATTTTTTTTTACGAGGTCGCTTATAAACTTAGCTCCCTGCTAACGCATTTATGTTTTGTTTCTGATAGATGTGCATATTAAAAATATGTGTTTTGGTTTGTAATAACGTAAAAGATTTATTAATAAACCTCTTGATAATAAAGTGAAAAGGCGCAGTATTTCGATATAGTCGAGTGGCATTGTGATACGGACATACAGTACCCTGAAACAAGTAAGATATGAATATGAACAGCTGGTCCCACAATGTTTTACTAAACGCAATGCTAGACTCCAAGCCATGTTTCATAAATGTATATATTTAGTGTCACAATTTGTTCTCCTATTCCAACGAATAATGCAAACTATTTTGTTCGAGTGCTGGGGGAAGCTATTTGTCTCTATACTCAGCTATTTGTTACAAAAATGCAGGAATTTAATTTATCTCTTGTCAAAGGCTGTATGAGCCCTAAAATGTAAAACCATGCTGCAGAGGAGATAGGAGGAAGTATATGTATGAAGGCAAATGTCTCATCCATCTGTGCCGGTCAACATATTTACTAGACGTTGTAAAGATTAAATGTAATATATTCCTCTGCTTTGACTATATTTTTCAGATTATAAGGAACGAATCTTGGTTTTTTTTTTTAAATACTATCTATAAATATCTTCAAGGCCGCCGCTAGTATCGGAGCTGGTCAAGACATGATTACTGGAATAATTCTGTCAATAGTTTGACCAAGACCTATTTTGTCTCAAGAACGTCTTTTATCTTTTGCTTACTTGTTAGCGTGTGATCTTATCTAAATGTCGATTATTGACACAAACTATGCAATACAGTATGGCAGTGTGTACATGTCTCAAAATGGCTAAGTCACATATATTTTCTGTGTTGATTTTAGCCTGAAAAAGATCAATAGCATTAATAAACACGAACTTTTATCGTTCTTGACTGGTGTTACATAATATCGGCATATGCAATAGACGCATTATCTTGAGTACTGCTATTTTAAGGAGACATGGTAGCCTAGTGGTATTGGACGCCGGGCTCGTGACCGAAGGGTTGCAGGTTCGAGTCACGGCACAGTACTGTGTTGTATCCTTTACTCCACTTGTTAGAGTAAGTGGTTGGGCAGTGCTAGAATTGTAAACTGCTAGCTGTGAGCGCAGAAATGGCAGCACTGGATGTATGCTCCCCAGGGAGTTGAGTAATATAGTGGCTGGTTGCAAAGGCCCTACAGCCACGGATAATAATTTGTGAACCGCTATGAGAATTATATTTTCGTAGATTTGCTTCTTTAAATTCATCTAGTCACTATTGACGTGTTTAGCATCGCCTACTAGACAGCATCGATTGCTTGATATATTCTAAGCAAGTATAATCACTAATTTCCTGCGCATTCGTGCTGTATAAAATATAGAATGTACGTTTGGCTTATGATGGTTTATTGTTTTATATCTTCTATACTATTTCACCAATCAAATCGTCATGTCATTTACTTTTGCAATTGTATGAAAGATTTTACTGCAGATAATGGTCTCGCTGTGTTCATTGTTTTACACATGTTCAAAAACAAACGCGATTACAGATATATCTTACACATAGAGTGGTATTTAGAGTTCAGTAAAAAAAATAACAAACGTTTAAAACAACTTCTCAACACACCAAGAAATCAAATGATGTATACACCCATGTTTCTTGGGATATCTTGAAAAGATGTTTGCATTGATCGTAATGAGATACATATTGAGATCACACGCATAGATTATAAATATTATTAAATATCAGCTTAACCCTGGTCCAACTTTAGAAACACCAGACGTCCCAGCCTATCATCTGTATACTTAAACCTACCTAGACTGATGCGCTTCGTTAGAATTTACTGCCCGCAGCTTGGACAGCAGAATCCGTAAAATATTAAGTAGAAACAGAAAATTGACCTGAAAAGGGAAAATGCACAGCTTTTTAAATACATCATAATGATTGAATCTCCTTAAACAACTTCTTTAAAAAATTCTCGGCTTCTTGATCCATATATAGATATATTACAGTCAATGATTATATCCCCATAAATATATTTCAACTTTGTGTTTTACACATTACAGGAATATAAAAACTGTGAAATCACGTATTTTCGTGAATCAGTGAATTACGAGTACCTACTCAATTAACAATAATAATAATAAACAACATTTATATAGCGGCCTATATAATTTGTAAATTTACTCTAAAGCGCTTTACAACATATGGATAATAGTAATGGTTATAATTGTGAAAACAAAAAACAAAGGCTTACACTAACTTTTATACATTTAAGCAAGCAATGTGCACATAATTGAACAAATAAACGGGTGGTATTTACATGACGTATTTGCAAAGATTCTAAAATGCAGACGTGAAGAGGTGAGTTTTGATACCCACTCAAACGAAGAATCACTTTATATCAAACTTGTAGTAAGTTCGTGGACCTATGAATTCGTGAATAATTATTACCAACGAAACCAACAAAATTAAAACCCAACGGAAGTCAGTGTTTCGCAGTATGTAGTTTATAAACATACCCTTGAGAATAGCATACGTTATACTCCGTCAATGAATTCGATACTGTACTTTAAATGTAAGTGTTAACAAGATTCGCAGACATGCATACATCGAGGAAGTGTATTGCCAGGTGCCCGGTATAGCTATTCTTGCAATGTAACATTTCGATCACCAACGTTACGGTGGTACCGTGATATGTAAAGGTGTATACTTACCAGTAAAGATAACACGACGGGCCCAGTGAGAATCCAGTTTTCGTCTGTAGTACTGGACCAGCACCTGTAAGTAGAAGTAATGCACAACGTAATTTATTTCAAATTTTCCTTTAATAATAATTATAGTAATAAACATTATTTATTGAGGATAAAAAAGTCTGTTTAGCAAAGCTTACCTTCCACAGGGTCCTCTGTTAGAATGAGATATTTTGTATGAAACGTTATTCTCATATGACGTACCTTCTGTTTATTATTATTTATAAAAAAAACGTTACACACGAAATATCATTGTAAATATGTAATTGTGTAACATAATTAATCATTCTATTGAAAAACATGTAAAATCAACTTTTTCTTTAATGTCTAACATTTTATTTTGTTTCGTTTTTTTAATATTCAATGCTGATTAGGTCAATCATTCTACTGGTTTCTTCATTATTGCACCGTTTATATTGGCCTAATCTCTCTAGAATTTTTATTATAAAAACCTTAAAATGATATGAAAGATTAACGGGACACGCATACAGGAGATTGCACCTTAAATATTTGGAAAAAGATCGAATAAGCAAAATATTAATTACACTGCATTATACAGCTGTTTCGTCCTTCTAGGTTTCATCGTTGTTGCTGGGGACTAAAACGTTGGAAATCTAATTTGTCTTAACCACTGGTGACACAGATGGGCAAGTGCGCAAATCCCTTTACTTACGTTTTAAAACATTTAGAGGAGAACTAGTTAATTTCAACTAAAATAATCTGTAAAATGTATATATTACGAGATTTGCCACTTCCCAAAAGAGATAACCGTGGCCATCAAGGTTTCAGAAAATCTCGGGATCGAATGTCGTACTAGTCATCGAAACGTCGCATAGAAAATCGTATCGGTTGTGTAAAAAGGACTTCTCATAAACTAAAAGGCAATTACTTCATACAGCTGTTTTTTCCTGCTGGGACTCGTCGGTTTAACTAGGGACCAAAACGTTGGAAATCCGATTTGTCTTAACGACAGCTAAAACAGAGGGAGAATGTACCTTTGATATTTGGTAATGGGTTGAGTAGGCCAACAATGAGCTGCACTGCATTATACAACTGTTTTGTCCTTCTGGACTCATAAGTGATGCTTACGACCAAAACGATGGATATTAAATGTGTCTGAACAACTGTTGAGAAGAGGGGCAGGTGCGTACATTGTAATACCCATTAATTCTAAATAAAGATAGCATGAGGGGCAGGTGCGTACATTGTAAAACCCATTAATTCTAAATAAAGATAACATGAGGGGCAGGTGTGTACATTGTAATACCCATTAATTCTAAATAAAGATAACATGAGGGGCAGGTGCGGACATTGTAAAACCCATTAATTCTAAATAAAGATAGCAGGAGGGGCAGGTGCGTACATTGTAATACCCATTAATTCTAAATAAAGATAATATGAGGAGGTCTAGTTGATTTAAAAAATAAATATTCAACCTACGCGCGTGTATTATAGTAGAATATATAACGAGGGTGTGGTTATGTCGGAAAAGTAATTAACAAAAGCCGCTTGCGGTCTGGTTATGTATGAGTATACATTGATTTTATCTATTTTGTCAAAGAGAATTTAATGGAAGTTTTCTCGAGTCTGCCTCAGTGTCATAACGCCTATGATAAGCAAAGTGACCTGTTTTAATATTTGTGGGCTGTTTTAATATTTGTGATGTGATGCCTGGTATATCTTCATTTAGCAGAAAGCTACATTTTTGGGAAGGATTTTACATTTTCAATCGCAATTTGCTCGACAAATATTGAACTCCGATACCATATTTTATTTCAGATGTTAAATTTCAATCAATCAAATAGACCAATCATCGCATGTCACCACATGAAATCAGCATTTGACAGATACATAATTACTAACTGAAGTCACTTTCGCGGTAAGTTCTGCGGAACATTCTCATCATGATTTTGACAGGTTTTAAGTGGACTCTTTTTGTTTGTCCGCTAGCAAATCTTCCAAAACATACACAATTAAATGCAGTTACACCCATTCGACAAATGAAACCAGTCCTGCGACCCGCTTGTTTAATGGTACATTTGCAGGGGAGGTTTTTTGAAGAGCGCATGGTCTGTTGGACAATAATACATGAACGCAAATGTAAAGTGTCGTTTCGTCGCAAACGTGGTAGGGTTAAAACCTATTGAAGTGAAAATATTCTTAACCGTGCCCCAACTCAAAAAATAACTGGCAATCAATGTTACGGCAAGCCTCGGGAATTGAAACATCCAACGGCTGAGTCAACCATCTTCTTGTACAATGAAAGGTGGACATAGAGGAAACACGTACACAGCTGATTGCATCGTCAAAGTCTGGTATTAGATAGAGTACAACGTAAGCTAGAAAGGAATGACTTTGTATCATACAACTGTTACAGAGAACGTCTTTCTAGGACTCATCATAATGTAAGCTATAAATACCATTTTGTTTAAAATGTATCAGGTAATTGTTTATGTCTTTGTTCAATGATAAACATTTATCTTACTATAAGTAATGTATGAATATTATGTAATCGACTTTAAAACTTTTGATGACAAATAAAACTTGATGATGCTATAGGGTGATAAATGACTGGTTCATAAATTAACTTTTTATCTGACGTGTATGTCTCCACAGCGTAGTTTAAGACGATTGGTGAGGTATTGATCTGTTTATCTAAGATGAGGCCTACTGTATGCTTTGGATTAGTGACAGTGATGTCGAAGGATAGTGACCTTTTCTAATCTTTCAGCGAAAGAAAAACTGATCCAAAATATTACGTACCCGTGACGTAGTTCCGGCTTTGACCCTCGGACTGCCGCATACACTGTAGTGGGGATCAGTGGACCGACTGCCAATTTAACAAAACATATTTTAGAATCATTAAGTAATTGCGACAATTTTCAGTCAATCACGTGACCATTAGACATCTGAAGTATGACATGACACACCATTACTTGGACAATGATTGGTATAATACCTTACCCCAGCCGATGACGTAACAGATTACGAGGAGGCGCTTGTCACTTGTGAAGGCGAAGACGATGAGTGCGTGAAGGTAGAAACCCTCACAGAACATCCAGAAGTAGTTACACAGCGTCAGGTACTGGGTCAACACGTGCAGCGCCTGGCACCATGGCTACGTGAGTCAACAAAACTTTCAGTACAATTGGTGGTTTGTGGTGTACATGTATATATACTACTCAAAAAATCATAAATGTATTTGGGTAGAGCAGGTCCAACATAAATGATGAAGGCTGGACATAGTACATTCTAGATAGTTTGGGTTCAGAGATAACTAAATACAACGTTATTGTCATGTAATATAAACGCTTAGCTTTTCGCAAAAACGAGAACGGTTTAAGACGTTTCATGAGCATTAGTGACATACGCGTAAATCGTAATGTTTCAAGTCTGATATGAACATTTGTAACACTTGAATTCTAAGCTAGTCAGTCAGTCAGAATAACCTAACGTACTTTTTATTATTGATAGAGCATGTTTTACAACACAGTGAATTACCTGTATAATAATAACAGCGCACAAGGTAACAACACACACTAATTGCTGGACTCAACCCGGGGGAATACAATGTGGTATACATCGAGAAACCGCGAATGGCGATATGGCCGGATTGTTACAGTTCATTTTCATGTAAAGCATTAATTACGTGTGATAAGCATCCTTAGATACATAAGCCATGCGAGCTTAGATGATGTACAACAAGTTGTTACTTAGAAACTGACCTTAATTATTAACCTAGTCACTGAAGTGAAAAATGTAGGTCAGCATCCAACGCATCACATGTGATAAGCATCCTTAGATGCATAAGTCAATGTAAGTTTAGTTGATGTACTACAAGTAGTTACTTGATAATTGACCTAAACCAAACTTCCTAACCTGGTCACTGAAGCGGAAAATGTAGGTCGGAACCAGCATCCGAAGCATCGCATGTGATAAGCATCCTTAGATACATAAGCCATGCAAGTTTAGTTATCGTTGGACAAGCAATTACTTGGTAAGTGATCTAAACCAATCTTCTTAACCATAGTGCAGATGGAGCCTGACCTCATCCAAACTTCTTAACCTCGTCACTGAAGCGGCACCAGCCTCCGAATCATCGCATGTCATAAGCATCCTTAGATACATAAGCCATGCAAGTTTAGTTGATGTGGGATACTTAATAACTTTGAAACGGAGCTTAACTATTCTTCGTAACCTTAGTGCAGACAGACGGACGGGAATCGCCAATGTATTAGCCCTGATTGCGTTGCAATCTGGCCAAAATGCTGTAAGAAACACGGGGAAAACCTGAACCGAGGGAAATAATAACAAGGTGATTACACGTACACAATGTGTTGAACTAAACAAAGAGAGATATCAACAGCACCCAGGGTGATTAGACAGTAACACAGTACTGTTCTAAACACGGTGATTACCGGTATAAAGGGGAGATAATAACCAAACAGTATCATTCGATGTACATACGTCTCTATACCGATTAAATGCATACAAAGGAACAAAACTAAAATACCTTGTTTTCTTTGACCATGTCAGGCATGTCCATCAGGGCAAACATCAGGATCCAGGCCGCCCCGGACAGGACATATGTGATGAAAAGATGCTTGTGTAGAGTCACCCGGCTACAGTGGAGCTGTCTGCAAAAGATCACGTGGCTCATGTTACAGGGGAAATAACGATGTGACGTCAGTAAAATACAATAGGAAAAGAGTTAGGGAATATAATGATGTCACGTTCATCCAATATTATGCCTAATGTGTAGATGAGGGATATTTTCATCAGTAGGACATGGTGTTAAAGGGAAAAGACCTGAACATGTAACGTAAAGTTATTTTCTTAAGGGGAGATAATCTTACTACAATACTATTATACAATGTTATACGTTACAGGTCAGCTATCAATACAACAATAGATGATACAACGATACCTGTACTATGTTACACTATGGTGTCCGTAATATGTGTAAAACCTATTTGTTCAGTGCACGCAAAATCTTCGTTTATTTCCCTTACACCGGTAGTGTATATTATTGTAACCGGTACTTTAATACCGTTTTTTTGTATACACCGGTTGATCCTTACAGGTCAACCTCGTTTTCATACGTCTTCCTGTTTGGCATTCTTGTATTAAAGATATATGCAGACTTAATTTTGAATAATGTAAGTTTGTTTATAAAAATAGTATACACGAGTGACGATTTTACAGAGGGTTTTATTTGCCCATTTCCTTCCTTGCTGCATTCTTCGGTATATTTTTTTTCTTCATAATTTGACCGATATCGAATGGTCGTTAAAAAGTCTACTTTATTTCGCTTTCTGCTTATTCCATTTCTAGTGGGTATTGCAGACAGTGAGGGTTAATTAAAGATGAAATATAACGACAAACACGGGAGTTGAGCATCCTAGATGAGTATAATGATTTAATTGCAGGTATTATATAGAGTGTGACAGTATATAAGGAAGGCATTTATACAGGAGATAAAACGTTATACACGGTGATAGAGATACAAGAGAGTATAATTATAATATACATGGGAACTAGTCATACAAATGTATATAGCGTAAACACTGCAATATACAATATATACAAGACATGTAGCTGATAAGTGGTAATTATAAAGAGACATATAACAGTACAGATGGAAGGACAGTATACAAGTCAAGTATATCTGTATAACGGAAGATTGGATACAAAGGCCTTTCGATACATTTCGACCATTATATAGCTACCGTAGGAACGGATATTAGAATAATTTAGCGCCTTGACAAATTGCAAAAGCATTTAAATAACCGTGCATGTACAAAGTTTCGACATCATCCGACAGGAATTGAACAAGTTACTTATTGTTGAAATAATGCACTCGTGACTGGTGGCTACTTTTTAATCCTAAAATGAAGGTTGGGACTAAATCCGAAATACTTTCCTATATCAAAGCATGTTCTGCTGTTAGCGCCAAATCAGATACATGCAGAGTTGTGCAGCATTAAATGCTCCCTCTGATAACTGTTTTCAGGCGGGTGAATAAATCCAAGAATGATAATGTTGACTTCAAAGAGGGCACGCGGCCAGGCAGGCCAGTTGTTGTAGCATCAAAGAAGAACATTGCTGCTGTGAAAGCGATATCTAAGGACGCTAAACTGTTTAAAAGATAGCGCGTATCACTGCCATTTCCTTCAATTCAATTACCATGCCAGAAAGGGAAAACTAGCATTGCTTAGTATTACAGAGACCAAGTATAGAGTTGAATAGCATCCAGCTAGTGTATGACAATGCTTCATCCCACAAACACAATATTGTACAGGTGTTCTTGACTCAAGAGAAGGTAGTACAGACTGACCACCCATCCTATGCCCCAGATCTAAGTCCCGGTACCTTTTCCTGTTTCCTTTACTCAACAAAGTGCTTATTGGGAAACGGTAAGCCTTTACAGCATATACATATTAGCGAACAGGAGAATGTACAGGGAATTCAACTGTACATGAGAAGCACGTGTTTGAATGAGCAGTACACGTTGCTGCTTCCATTAATATCATGGTCGGTGCATGTCTGGTCAAGTCTTTGAAGCGGTAAATGGCCTTGAGTGAGATAAGATGACCTAATGCCACCACAAATTTCTGACATAATTTACAGATGATCTAGAATAAAATGTTCCTATGGTCGAATAGGACGCATTATAGTATATCTATACATAGATACACGAACTTTTCGATTCAAGACTGATAATGATGCATTTTTAGAGATCCAGTCTGTTAAAAGTCAAGATAGTAAATTTTGTCGATCATATGAAACATCGTCTAAATCTGCCAATTCCGTAACGGCGACAAATACCAACATTTTCACACTTTTGGATTTCCTTGAATAGTGGTTTGTTGAAACCAAGGAAAACTGGTGGGTTACACAACTTGGAGTGGTACGTACAGTAAGGCAACTCTATCTGAGTCAGTAACATACGACTAAACGTAAACTGTTCTACTTCTGAGACAGCCACTATTGTCACACATGTATATGTAGATAATTGTCTTACATCTAGATAGTGACATTGCTGTGGGATTAATCTTGTGACGTATAAAGATCATTATCTAAGGTTTTAGTGTTTTCACACATGCACATATTTCAACATATTTAAAAAAAAAACTTTTGTTACACATTTATATTTTTCAATCAATCTGACAGTTAGACTTGTTGGCATTGGGGTTGTTCCATTACCAAAAATTAGTCTCGTCGAAGATCAGCTGATTCAGCCACTTAAACAGTTACTCTACTTATCAACTCACCTGATTGATCCGTTAGTGTCAAAAGTGCATTTGTCAATTACAGTAGAACGACAACATACTTGCTGGATAGGAAACGGTTCCCCCATGACAGTTACTCAATCATCCGTGGACCCTCACACATTTTGACTGTTTTGTCCCGAACGTAAATAATTTCACTCCTTGATAGTTGCTGAACATGTCGGATGTTGCAGGAAAATTACCCAGTATAGTACTCAAAACGATGGTGTCCATCGTTTTATATTTATCAGTATTTTAAACACCCTTTCCTCACATCTCATATATTCTTCTACTTCCGGTAACTAAGTTGTCAGTATCGTTTTTAGCGACATAATAATCATCTTCTTGTAAGTGCGTCAGAGGCGATGACGAGGATAGTGATGGCGTACTTACAACATCGTGGAGAAGACAAAACACAGCAAAGGGACTACATGAAAGCAGTAAGTTGAAAAATTGAGATGTGAAGTGTCGGGGATGGATGAAGGTGAAGCACTTACCGGAAGTAGGAAAAGATGAGGATAGCTGCGATGGAGAGGATGATGGAGACAGCGTATCCACTGTAGTATATACTGATGACTCTTTGAAGTGTCTGTAAAGCAAGAACTACCGCCAATTAATTATGAGGTATATTGTATAGTAATTTGTGTTTAGGTTTGATACGGCCTTCTGGCATCGATTAGTCAAAGGTTGGTTAATTTTAACAAGTTGTTAGTGGAATTTCAAACTATTGTCATTAACAAGCGAAGTCTTTCAACACAAAATAAATCATCAAAACAAATCATTCTAATATGTTCCTCCAAGTTTTCTCTTAACACCGAATAACTCTAACCAAACTTTGAGCAAATGGAGCCCGCTCTTACAATATTTACAGCACTAACTTGTAACATAGACATTCAAAATTCACAGCCAAGGGTGCCCTTTCAACACATGGCCAAAAAGGGATAAGATATATATTTATTCACTGAAAAAATATGTAATGGTAGAGAAGAGTTTTACAATCAAAAGTTGATGTGGGTTATTTTTCTCTGCATTATTGTTTTCCTTTATTTTGTAGTTCCGAATATTGATGATCTGTCATAAGTTTCCCTTCGTATTAGATTTATAATACAAGTTTTGGATTTTTCACGTTTGCAAGCCTCTGGCGAACAAATATGAAAAGTCCAAAACGAGTATCATAAATATAATATTAAGGGAAACGAATGACAGATTCCTTGTATCATATACTACAACGTAAACTGAATAATTGCGACTTGAAATGAATACTTTGCACTTGGCCACCCCTGAAACGATGCATATTGCGTCCGCTTCACTATGACGTGACGTCAAATTGATTGTTTCTATTCGGTTCTGACGTAATTTCCGGAGTGATATTACACACGTTTCATAAACATGATTTATGTGATGGCTTTATGACACTCCATTACACGGTTTTCATATGATAATCAAAGTGCCGAGGGCACTCAGGGATGCTGTGTATGAAGGATTCAAAAAATGGTATAAATGAGGTAGTATATCAGTACAGAATGGCAGTAAATGATAAGGTACATGTTGTTGAGTAAGGGTCATAATAGCTCATCCCCAAATCACAATTTTCAATAGAAATATATATAACAAGCAGAGTATTGTTAAAACAATATAGGTTCCTTACTGGCTACCATTAGCAGTATAAAAATAAGTATCGATGACCTTGACCCAAGAGCCCTGAAATTGGAACTTGTCTGATATTATGGTCCTTAATTAGTGTTTCAAATCGATGGAAATCCTTCAAGGAATGAAGCAGCTACAGCGCAGACAATGATCTTTTTTAGAAATAGTAACAGTGACCTTGACAAGACAACCCTGCAAACCAAAATTGTCCCTGTAAGATTATGGGAAAGTTTAATATTAAATAAAACAAAAACACCATAAATGTTATCTAGATAATACAAATAAATAATTATGATATTATTATCACAATTTCATAGTATCATGATTAATTATACAAAAAAAATAAAACGGGATTGTAGTACTGTATATACAAGACCCTTGTGTATCTCTCCTTCTGTCGATATTGTAACGAAGGTTAAAGTCCTATATAATTATTCAGTGCCTGGTTCATGTGAATAATATGTGTATAGGTTTTAATTGTTGATGTTCAATATGCTATATTTAAGAAGCACTTGTATTATACTAATCGTGCAAATAGCAAGAGACTGTATTGGGAAGCTATCTACAAACTCATTAGACACAGCTGCTGTCGCATTGGAAAGCTATCTTTAAACTCGTTAGGCTCAGCTGCTGACAACTACTTTAGTATAAGTAAACATTCTCTTCCACTTGGAGACTTTTCATTGAGACAAAGAAAACACGAAACCTACTTTATCAAGGACAGTTATCAAACAGTCTTTCAACAAGTCGCGAGCATGAAACTACGCAATGATAGACAAGGGGTGAAAACTCTTACACACACACTTTAGAGTATTGGAATACGAGGCGTAGTAATTTGAACCAAGTATAGTTCGGATAAAGTCTTTGATTTATTTTATCTAAAGATTTATCGCGGAAGGAGATAAAGTGCTGTTGGTTTTTTTTGTGAAGAAATTATTCGGTCCAAAAAGCGTAGTAATCTGAGATTGATATAGTTCATGATGCTCACTGAAAAATCTTTCTTTTCGTAAAAGATTAGCATTTGTTCTTTGATTTATTGATTGTTTTCATATGTATTTCATCATTTTATTAAATCATTAATCATACCATGAAATAATCAACACAGCATTTAAAGATCTTCCGCGGAAGAAGAAAGACTGCTGTTTGGTTGTGATTTGCCCACAGCATCCAAAAATAAAGCTTACATTGAACGTTTTCATGATATTATAAATGTTCATGAAAAGATACAGAGAATAACTAAGGTTACTTTTATTCATTTTATTGAAAGTTTGCTGCAGCTGCTTGATCGCTCTGTGTAAAAAACATCGATCATAACCATTATGTATTGAATTATGTAAAAACATACACAGCTTTCTCATAACAGATAATGCAGAAAACACATTTTTGGAAATAAAATGTCAGTTAAATTTGATTACTGAATCATCAAGAGGATGATTCTGAAGATATTTACGACAGCAGTATCTGGTGATGTGTCGCCATGTGTATTATAAGGCTTCCAATGAGTACTATCGCTATTAAACAACAAACGTATCAATTATTCATTGTAAAGACAAGTGACCTCATATACAGGATGTCGTCTACAGATGTCTTTCAGCCAGGCTCCCTAGCAGGGTCAATGGTCTCACAGGGGATTTTCGGGGGAATGAAGAAGCGAATCTAGCACACCTAAATTGTTATATTGGATGTAGGGTAAGATTGTTGATAGATAAAATGGTGAAAGTAATTATTTTACATACACGTACAGTAACAAATGCGGTTTCTTGCGACACAGAATAATTTACAATTCCGCCAAGACCTGTTTACACAAAGGACAACGCAGTATGTTTTCATTTTGTTTTCTGATACAGCATCAAGGTTCATTCCAATTACTGTCTATGGACCGAACAACATGATTTCTTTATTCTTGAATATTGAATATGTCTTTAAATAAATGTATCTTCTCACTTTTCTCTAAAACAAAGCTCTTTAGGTATTAGTTTCCTTTCAAGATATAACTCTTAGGTTTACATGTAATTTTTATGTTTACATGACACAAAATTTGTAAATCAGCCTTACAAATAAACTAAAATGTTCGAATACAAAAAAAAGGCTGTTGCAACCAAACAGATGTGTATTACACATGTAGAAAAATGTATTAAAGAGCAAATTAGATGGGGAATTTTCTTGACGATGATCATATTGTAAACTTATTCACGTGCGAATAATCATATATTACACATAATATCAGCGTGATATCTACGTGTTAAAGCCCATAATATGTAAAAATAACATCGTCTTTGTACTTTTCCTGAAATATCCAATTTTTTAGATGAAATTAATAAAGATATTTTTTCATTTCTATTTTGATGGTAATAATTATGTGTTTTACACGTAACAACTGTAATTTGCTGGCTACTTTAAACATCCGCGTTCCCGTACTTACAGGAAAGTATATGACAATCGTACTCATGCATATGTTACAGTTCACAATTGCGATGAAAGCGGCTGAACTGTTAGGCAGAGATTTTTTAGATAATACTGTTATATTAAAATCGACGAAAATTCATTCCAGAACGTCAAAGTGAACAAAATAATTTAGTAAACAACTTCCTGGAATACCAATAAAGTGTTCTTGAATTTTACTTTAAGAGAAAGGGTCAAGAAATAGTACATTCAGACGGAAATAAATGCATGTGTGCCATAATTATCATACTTTTGGTTAAGCTCCCCTCTCATCTGTAGATAAGTGTCCTTACATGAACAACCTGGAATATTCATTTGAACAACTTGAAATTCCAGTTCCTAAAAACCTCTTTATATTGTTTTTAGTAGGAATCAGTTCAGGGACTTTTGAGAGAACATATCGCAAAGGCTCTAATGATCAGAAATTATATTGATATACAGGTTAGTAATGTTTTTTGATTTTGTTTTCTGTTTGTCTTTTTATAACGAAATATGACCTGTCAATGTAGTCCGGGTCCAAAAATTTGACCAGTACACTACATAGTGTTCACGTGGTACTTTTTCTAAACTTTTAAAGGTTACGCTTCGGAAGAAAATAATGAGATATTGTATGTGATTTCCCTCCTTTTGGCGTTTTGACACCGATCAAAAATGCACTTGATATTTATTTTGTTCTCTGAATGACTTCAATTGCTGAGATAAATGAAATAAGGTGAAATAAATCCATGATTATTATCATTATGATGGTCACCCTTTCCCTAAATAGCCATAAGCCTCTTTGAGTGACTCTTTTTTTTGGTTAAAGGGACATGGCACTAAAATTTCATTTTCATGTCCAACCTTTCTAAGCTTAAACGGAAAAAAAGTGCTAGCATTTACATTAACCCAGAAGCGGAAGGCATTTACAACAACCCAGAAATGGAAGGCATTTACAATATATAGAAATAGAAGACATTTACAATATATAGAAATGGAAGGCATTTATAATAACCAAGACGTGGAAGGCATTTACAATACATGTAACCTAGTAGTGGAAGACATTTACAATAACCAAGACGTGGAAGGCATTTACAATACATGTAACCTAGAAGTGGAAGGCATTTACAATAACCTAGAAGCGGAAGGCATTAACAAAGGGCATTTACAATAACCTAGAAGTGAAAGGCATTTACAATATATTGAAATGGAAGGCATTTATAATAACCAAGACGTGGAAGGCATTTACAATACATGTAACCAAGAAGTGGAAGGCATTTACAATAACCTAAAAGTGGAAGGCATTAACAATAACCAAGACGTGAAATGCATTTATAATAACTCAGAAATGGAAGGCATTTACAATAACTCAGAAGTGGAAGGCATTTACAATAACCCAGAAATGGAAGGCATTTACAATATATAGAAATTGAAGACATTTAAAATATATAGAAATAGAAGGCATTTAAAATAACCCAGAAGTGAAAGGCATTTACAATAACTTAGAAATGGAAGGCATTTACAATAACCAAGACGTAGAAGGCATTTACAATAACGATGAAGTGGAAGGCATTTACAATAACCCAGAAGTGGAAGGCATTTACAATAACCAAGACGTGAAATGCATTTACAATAACCCAGAAGTGGAAGGCATTTACAATAACCTAGAAGTGGAAGACATTTACAATAACCTAGACGTGAAAGGCATTTAGAATAACCTAGAAGTGGAAGGCATTTACAATAATTCAGAAGTGGAAGGCATTTACAATAACCCAGAAATGGAAGGCATTTACAATATATAGAAATGGAGGACATTTACAATAACTCAGAAATGGAAGGCATTTACAATAACCAAGACGTGAAAGGCATTTACAATAACTCAGACGTGAAAGGCATTTACAATATATAGAAATAGAAGGCATTTACAATAAACCAGAAGTGAAAAGCATTTACAATAACCAAGACGTGAAAGGCATTTACAATAACTCAGAAGTGGGAGTTTTTTTGAATACATACATTTTTGACTTTTTATGGTTCTTAATATATGGAAGCTGAAGCCCATCGTATTAAAAGTATATGATATCCACCACCTAATTGAAATATCTTAAGAAATCGAAATGAAATTCCCCAGCCATTGTAGGCAACACACGATGACAGACGAAGGACGATCGTATTGGTTATCTGAGTTAAAAGCTTTAACATTTCATTGGTGTCATTTCAGATGACAAAATCTGAAATATAACATAAGTTTATTTTGTCAGCGATAAAAATGAAGGCGATGGTCATAATATCTTCAAGTATTTTACACAACTTATATTTATTAGAAAAATATTTAAAACGTTTCGAGAAAATGTCCCTTGTATGCAAACACCAAATGATATTTTTTTTTTTTGTCATTGTCAAAAAATATTTTCCGATTTGTAGAGTCAGTGCTAAGTGTTGCCTAACAACTAATTGGTGATTAATTTGTAGTTAGTCCATATCTTGGACAACAGAAATTCTATTTCTTATTTGCTAGATTCAATCAGAGATTAACGGATATGAGCATTATCATAATTCTTTATGTTTTAGGACTTTTATGATTCAATGGTAAGTATTTCATACATTATTTTATTTAAGGTGGGTTGTGCAGGCCTATTTTCTATCTGCTTTATTATAAAGACGAATAACATCAATATCATTCAGGTAAACTGTTGTTCTTAGTGTTATGTGTACCTGTATTTTGTTCACAGTAGAACTAAGAGGAAAGAAGATGAGGAGGCTGACAAAAAGGGTAAATAAGAATGAGAAAGTCGTCGTTGTCGTCGTCAGAGCTTTTGTCTTTTTTGACGACGACGATGACGGCGAGATAATTACCTCCTTGTTGCTGGCACATGGTGTATAGTTCGTCCACGTCCGGCCAGTGTCAGGGTGGGTCAGCCACGTCCCGTCAACACGACAATCTTTGAACGCTGGGCCTGTTAGTGTAAAAATATATTATGTTTTCTGATGTATGCTATAAAACTTTTGAAATCATAGTGACAAAGCAACCGCAAAAACACAATCCAAACATCAAAACGAAGGAAACTATGGAAAAGGGTCAAGCAACGTTATGGACGTCCTTAAATGAGCATAGCTGATAAACTAACGTCAGGTACACGTTCTGTCAGTATCGAATGGTATGTGATAGAGCAGTGAGAGATGTGTATACCTTTCTACGTATAAATATAAACTTTATTCAGTTTACAAAAATTATGAAACAAGTTATTTTAAATTATATTAATCACTCTTGTTGGCCCGGATGTTAGCGCGCAGATGGTCTATATTTGGGAGGAAACCGGAGTACCCGTACCTTTTCACGTACGATCGGGGAATCGAACCCCGGTCGCGTTGGTGAAGGCAAGTGCGCTATCCACTGCATCACCCGACCACCTTTCTACGTTTTACTTTACAAAGTGACAGCCCACAAGGTACTATTTATTTCCAACAATAATGTCTAACAATCTTGCAATTTTGTTAGGCAAACGCGAGGCTTCTCAAAATAAAACGGTACCCAAAATAGAATGCTTTCTATACGAAGGGTGAACCTTTTATTATCTTGCATAACAAATTAATAGCATCAGTTCTGAATCAAAATTGTTATGGTTTTTAGCAAAAGGAGCATTTTTTATTGCTCTACCACCTATCGTGTTAATAAACTTATTGAAAAATGGGGGATTGATATTTCTAATATGGCAAAAACATTGTTCAAACGAATATCTTAATGAGTGATTATATTTCATCCGAAGGTGACAAAATTTGATGGAAATGCAGAGAAATATTTTACATGTTGTCAGTTATGTTCATAAACAGACTAATAAAATGAGAGGTTCTGTTTTTGTGTACATAAAATTCTAAAACGTCAAATTGAACCCGGTTCAACTGAAAGAACACTACCAATAGACGCATGTGGCTTTGATACTGTATCAAAGGAATACACAAATTGAAAGCTAAAGACATCTAATATTATCATTATAGTTAAGGCGATTAATGTTCTTAACAACTAAATAGGAAAAGTATGTAATCACGCACACACTAAAATGGTTATCACCTTTTCATTTTGATTGACTTTAAAATCGAATTAATACGCATACCAAGTCAAATTATAACGAACGCTTCCACTCATTTAAGTTTGAACAGTAAACAGAAAAACAATTCACGTGCAAGTTTGTTCTCTATTTCATTATCTATTCTATTTGCATGTACAGTTGTTGGGTTGCAAACAAGTGACACGATGTCGGATGTAAACGTGGGAATTATAATCACTTTGTGAACGAAAGAAACGAAGGGCAACCGCAACTGTGGTTGATGTAAATTGACTAGTTACGGCGTATAAATATATACGATTTCCCAATGTTGGATACGGATATGTTTTAAAGAAAAGCAATCGACCTAAATCGATACATGTACACCATTTATCGGACGAAGTGTCGAACAAGTATGCAGATAAATACAGCTGTCTGGTGGGTCTACAATTTCTCACCCTCAGGTCACCTCTCCCGCTGAGAGTGAAAATGCAAGGTGTCATACACAGAAAAACCCGAATCAAATAAAACAAAACTAACATATATCTAAGTATATCACATAATCGGCCTGTTATCTAGTGAATTCGCCCGTGAAATATTTTTATATATGTCACTAGTGTATTATACCCTGGATCGTTTTTCATTGGCTGTGCCAGTCAGAAATCGATTGTGACGTCATAATTTGGAAAATAACGTGACGTCATCAATTGTGAATGGCGCAACAAAATGGCTGTCTCCGGTTGATTAGGCCCTCTACATTTTGCCTTTAAAACCTGTCAAAATGTCAGCTTACTGAGTTATGTGAAAATAATTATCTAAAATGTGTTTTCATTTCATATGAGCTTTTATGAAACTCGTCTCGAAGTTTTAATCTTTGCTCGCCAAGGCTAGCAAAAATAAGAACTCGTAAGACTCGTTTCATAAAATCTCATATGAAATGAAAACTCCATTAAGATCCTATATGTATGGTTCAGTGACAAACACACACATCTGTATGAATAGCTGTACATACGTCCATCTATCTATTGGCCAACAAACCGTGAGGTTTCACTTTAGAGAAAGTTGATCTAATAGTCTACACTCTAGAATGTTTTCCGATCCGAAAATATTTTATCGCCGCTCTCGCGGAAATACATGATCAATTTCCGTGCTGCTTGAATCCAAAACTATGGACTATATTTCTAGACTGATTAATGTGACAGACATACAGAATAACTATAATTTCTTTCCGAAATACAAATGATTCATCAAAACTACACAGTCGATCAGTAAAACCTAAATGATTCATCAACACCCCATACAACACGTATTCCTAAATCATTGATGAACACTCCATACAAAAATACTTTCTGAAAAAACGTCAACACACTAATTATTCCTAAATAATTTATCAACACTACAAAACAATATTTTAAGAGCGAGATCTACTTACAAGTTAACTGATTATGGAGGGCACCCACAAAACAAGTTGTTTGACAAATATATCCTTGACTGATTCCAAATGATGATTAAAACCCAACACTTACCACCCTTTATCACTTATTGAACATACACAGATACGATCTAGTATCAGGTCGTGATAATGGCTCCATCATACCTCTCAACATAAAGAAACACGATAAAATACTTTGAAAAGCTGAGCACTGCGATAAACATCGGTAAACATAAGAAGAGTTATTCAGACACCAACAGTTTGAATATATCGTTATCTCTTCCGAAGCCAAATGTAGAACAATGACTGTTTCACGAACAATGCTCTGTATCTCTTCGAGCATTTCATACTAAGGTCCCTACCTACGTTGGTTCTTCATATTTGATAATTTTATACCCAAGTTCCAACCTATACTTGTTCTAAAATTTTGAACATTTTATACCCAGGTCCCAACCTACAATTAATCTTTATCTTCTAGCATTTATACCCAGGTCCCTACCTACAATTGTTCTTTATCTTCGAGCATTTATACCTAGGTCCCTACATACAATTGTTCTTTATCATCGAGCATTTATACACAGGTCCCTACTTACAATTGCTCTTTATCTTCGAGCATTTATACACAGGTCCCTACCTAAAATTGTTCTTTATCTTCGAGCATTTATACACAGGTCCCTACTTACAATTGCTCTTTATCTTCGAGCATTTATACCCAGGTCTCTACCTACAATTGTTCTTTATCTTCGAGCATTTATAGACAGGTCCCCACTTACAATTGTTCTTTATCTTCGAGCATTTATACCCAGGTCTCTACCTACAATTGTTCTTTATCTTCGAGCATTTATAGACAGGTCCCCACTTACAATTGTTCTTTATCTTCGAGCATTTATACACAGGTCCCTACCTAAAATTGTTCTTTATCTTCGAGCATTTATACCCAGGTCTCTACCTACAATTGTTCTTTATCTTCGAGCATTTATACACAGGTCCCCACTTACAATTGTTCTTTATCTTCGATCATTTATACCCAGGTCCCTACTTACAATTGCTCTTTATCATCGAGCATTTATGCACAGGTCCCTACCTACAATTGTTCTTTATCTTCGAGCATTTATACACAGGTCCCTACTTACAATTGCTCTTTATCTTCGAGCATTTATACCCAGGTCTCTACCTACAATTGTTCTTTATCTTCGAGCATTTATACACAGGTCCCTACCTACAATTGTTCTTTATCTTTGAGCATTTATACACAGGTCCTTACCTACAATTGTTCTTTATCTTCGATCATTTATACACAGGTCCCTACTTACAATTGTTCTTTATCGTCGAGCATTTATACCCGGGTCCCTACCTACAATTGTTCGTTATCTTCGAGCATTTATACCCAGGTCCCTACCTACAATTGTTCTTTATATTCGAGCATTTATACCCAGGTCCCTACTTACGATTGTTCTTTATCTTCGAGCATTTATACCCAGGTCCCTATCTCCATTTGTTCTTTATATTCGAGCACTTATACCTAGGTCCCTACCTACAATTGCTCTTTATCTTCGAACATTTATACCAAGGTCCCTACCTACAATTGTTCTTTATCTTCGAGCATCGATACACAGGTCCCTACCTCAACTTTTTCTGTATCTTCGAGCATTTAAACCCAGGTTACAATCTACACTTGTTCTTTATCCTCGAGCATTTGATAAACAGGTTCCTTGTTTCCCTCCTCCGGGTTTTCCGAACATTTAATACCTATATCCCTACCTTCACTTGTCCGTATCTTTTAGAATTTTATAAACAAGTCCATTCATTCACTTCTTAGGTTTCCTCGAGCATTTTTCAAAGATCAACATTTTAATTTTCAGTATGGCTCAAAGCTCAAATGCTCTAACAAATAAAAAAGAATAAAAAATAAGATACAGTAATTGAATATCAAGTTTGAAAAAAATGCAACATCCCGCATATACTTGAGATAGACAATACATGTATGTCTATATAAAGTTTTCCCTTGCATTTTTTCGTTTTGATAGTATAACAAGAAGGTTTAAAGTGTCAATATGAAAATTCAGGTAAAAGTAAAAATAAAATGCACTTTCCATAGCTAGCATGGTTAAACGTATCTCGTATATACATATGTAATGTAATTCATAGTTAAGTGAACTGACAAGTCGAATTAAAATTTTGTATTCCAATTTGAAACTAAAAAGAAAAATTTACTTAGGGTTTTTCACTATTAGATGACCGACTTTTTAATACCATAAGGGTCAAATGTGTTTAATTTTTAAACATCTCTTCTGAATAATCAAGATGCGTATGGTGTTTGTATTTGGCCGAAATCATATTTGGATGAAAGGCTAACAAGATTGTAAAAAATAAATTACCCGATATTTTGATCTGTTTATAAACGGCCTGGGGCAACCTGTTGACACACTATAAACTACCCTTAGAGCATCTTCCACACAATCTATAAAGGGACCTAATGACAAAATGCTCACAGATTATAAACGACCATAAGGGTACCCTACGCACAATCTACAAAGGGCCCTAAGGACACAATACTCACAGATTATACATGACCCTGGGGTTCCCTCCTTACAATCTATAAAGGGCCCTAAGGACACAATGCTCACAGAATATAAACAACCATAAGGACACCCTCCTAACAATCTATAAAGGGCCCTAAAGACACAATGCTCACAGAAAATAAACGACCATAAAGGTAACTTCCTCACACTCTATAAAGGGCCCTAAGGACACAATGATCACATATTAAAAACGACCCTGAGGGTACCCTCCTTACAATCTATAAAGGGCCCTAAGGACACAATACTCAAAGAATAAACATAACCCTGAGAGTACCCTCCTTACAATCTATAAAGTGCCTTAAGGACACAATGATCACATATTATAAATGACACTGAGGGTACCCGCCTCAAAATCTATAAAGGGCCCTAAAGACACAATTGTCACATATTATAAACGACCATGAGGGTACCCTATTTATAATCTGTAAAGGGCCCTAAGGACACAATACTCACAGATTATAAACGACCCTGAGGGCACCCTCCTCACAAAATAAAAAGGGCACTAATGACACAAAATTCACAGACTATAAACGACCCTGAGTCATCCTCCTAACAATTTATAAAGGGCCCTAAGAACACAATATTCACAGATTATAAACGACCCTGAGTGTACCCTCCTCATAATCAATAAAGGGCCCAAATGACAAAATATTCACAGATTATAAACGACCCTGAGGGCACATTCCACACAATCTATCAAGTTTTCAAGTTTTTAAAGTTTTATTTTTACACTCACGCCACACGTATACGTGCGTAACAAGAGGTCACATAATATATAGTATACATTGATGGACATATAACTCACATAATATGACACATGATACAATTCATACAATAACAACCCATTTCAATAATTATTTTTGCTAAATTATTTTAGATATTAAGTAGCTTCATTACTCTTTGTATAAATTTACTTACTTTTGTTAAGAGTACCGTGTTACAAATTGAGAACATTCCTTTCATTTTGATATAAGTTGGGTTGACATAATAATAATTTGGTATATAAAGTTGTCTAACAGCTACAACAGATACATTAGTACATTGGTATAAGTAGTGGTATTCGTCCCCAACACAGTTATTACATAGGGGACATAACCTTTCCTCGCGTGGGACTCAATACCATCTTCCTGTTTATATAGGAAATTTTATATTTGATGTTCTAAATTTACATATTACTTTTCGTTCATTACGATTTAGCTTTAAAAGATATGGTTCAATATTAAACTGAAATTTGAATAAGGAGTAAACTTGCCCTCGCGAGGAGGGTTCAACATCATGAAACCAACTTTGAATGAATTGATCGCATAATCTCTGCTTAATGATATTTTTCAAGCATTGTCTATTAATTGTACATGATATTTGGAAAGTCCATAAATTATTAAATCCAGTATTGTTTAATATGTCTCGTATATAGGTTAACCATTTAAAACTTAATAAAGAATTCTGGTGCAAATTGTACATTAACTTATACATTACACTAGATAATTTCGATCCACCCGTTATAAGCTTATGCCAGAACATACCCATTCTAACACTGATTTCAATTTCTAGGGGATACCTTCCTAACTCACCATATACCATATAATTTGGGGTGCTCTTCCGAATGTTAAGAATTTCCTTACAAAACTGTAAATGTATTTTTTCGATACCTTTTGTATTTTCATAGCCCCAGATTTCACATCTATATAATAAAATTGGTGACACAAGTGCATCAAATAATTTCAGTTGAAGATCTTCAGGAATGAAAATATTTCTAATCTTAATATACAATGCATATAAAGCTTTTTTTGCTTCCTCTGTTAGTTTACTTTTGGCTTTTGTAAAAACACCTTTGTAGTTTAATATTATTCCAAGATATGTGTACGAATCTTGTATTTCTAAAATCTCATTATTTAACGTAAAGTGATGGTCTCTTTTACTTTCAAGGGTCCTAAGGACACCATGCATGCTCCCAGATTATAAATGGCCCTGGGGGCACCCTCCTCACAATCTACAAAAGGCCCTAAATACACAATACGTCCCGAGGACACTTGCCTACAGTCTGTATAATGGCTCTAAGGGCACTCTGTTCACATTCTAAAAGAGGTTAGATCACACTGATCATAGTCTATCAGCGGCCCTGAAGTCAACGTGATCACATTTCATTTACGACCATGAGGAAACCCTGATCACAGACTACAAACGGCAATGAGGGCACCCTAGTTGCAGTCTATAACGGGCCACAAGTTAACACCGTCAGTAAACATTAAGATATTGGCGACAAGATATGAGCTACTAGATTAGATATTTCAATTCAATGTGAAAATGCAAGCTATTACACGGTTGTGTTAACCATTATTTTTGATATTCCGTATCGCATTTGTTCAATCAAATAATTAATTTGCTATTTTGGGATTATTTGTCTGCCTCCAGAGCCATATTTGTCTTGTCAAATCTTTGTCTATGATTTAATTCAATGAGCCCAGAATCGATGAATTATTTCAATGGCAATTACACAATTTTCAAGCAAAGTAGATCGTACTTTTACGATGATATGTTCAGCAAATTAAATATCATATTTAATTTAATTTGAATTTTGTTTGTAGGCATGTATAAAAAGTATTGTTTAAGATTTTGAAAACCCTTCTGCAGTAAAAAGTATATATATGATCGTGATCTCTTTTCACAAGGAGAGCCCCATCCTTCATTAAATGATGTTTTAAAATGCAGTTGTGTGGTATTAGCTAGCTTACCTGTATAATTATGTTTTATCAATACGAAGCAATGGCTGTACAATTGGCATAGGAATTAAATGAAATATGAATCAATTACCTGAAGGAAGGCCGTACTTGTGTCGGAGAAAGGTTGGACAATCATGATAAATCCGAGTTCCTGCTGAAGTGTAATTCCAACAATCCCAGCCATCAAATGTAGAGTTACAGTACAGACCACCTGTAAGAAAGATAAGATGTAGCGTAACAGTATAGCAAATCTGACAGGGGAAAAAAGATGTTACGTTACAATATAGCCCACTAGGAAGGGGTATCAAATGAAGCGTTACAGTACAGTCAACATGTAAGGTGATAAAATGACGCGTTACAGTACAGCCATCCTGTAAGGTGATACAATGACGCGTTACAGTACAGCACACCTGTAAGGTGATAAAATGACGCTTTACAGTACAGCCCACATGTGAGGTGATAAATTGACGCGTTACAGTACAGCCCACCTGTAAGGTGATAAAATGACGCGGTACAGTACAGCCCACCTGTAACCCTAGCGCGCATTATGTTGTTTGCTTGCAAAGCTGTGTCATTCAAATAGATCATAAATACCATACAAAAACAGTTCAATGCTTAATTACATAGATAACTGACTGTTTGAATTATGAAGTGTTATATATTTACTCAATTTTCATTCATTTTAATTTGATTAATTCCTTAGTTAGGTTAATTTAATTAATTTCTTAGACTTTTCAGATATCAAAATATTCCAGATTCAAGGTTGAGTGAGTTGGTTTATAATGTCTGATAGATATATATCTCAAATAGAGATTATATTTAGAAATGAACTACAATAAACGGGAAAATGTTCGCCCAGAAATACAATTGCCTTTCGCCGATAAAATCTGTATTCGCCCGGTATGACTTCGCCCTTCACGTTTAATTTCTTTATATATTATATTGTTTAGTAATGTAAGCTGAAATGACAAATTTGCCCTCGATACGGAGGTCGAAAAAGGCGAAATTTAACTGCGGCGACCTTTTCCTTGAATACTTTGGTTTGGTTTAGTATAGTTTAACGTCCTATCAACAGCTATGGTCATTTAAGGACGGCCTCCCCTGTGTGCAAGATGCATGCGGGTAGTGTGTGCGCGTGTGTTTTGGAAGGCTGCGATATGTTTGTGTTTATCTCCTTGTGATAGCGCAGAACTGATGCCGACTTTATAGTGCTACCTCACTGACACATACTGCCGAAGACACCCAGGAGGACACCTCACCCGGCCACATTATACTAACAACGGGCAAACCAGGCGTCCCTATCCTAAATTGCTGAGCGTTAAGCAGGAGTAGAAACTACCATTTTACTTAGATAACTGGACAAGTAAATATTGTGATCGTGTCTTCACTCACGAGGTATGTATATCTCCTAGACTAGTTATAACTATCTATACTTATCAACTTATATTTACCTGTTACTCTGTATCTTCCAATTATTTTGTGTTTTAACATTGTTAACACATTGCTACGTATACTTTCTAATCAAGCATATATCGGACGTATGTTTGTTTGCTACGGTACCGGAAAATATAAATGAAGACCATGTACACTCATTTAAATATACTTAACCCATAAATTTGTTGGATGCGGTGTTTGAACAAGGTGATCAGATCGGCTTACGGCGACGCCAAATGTAGGTGTGCGAGACCACTATGTTACAATGTTAAAAACAACAGGAATTCATATTGCTGAGCAAGCCAAACTGTCCCCGTGAACATAACGATACCTTAGACTTGTTACGCCTGGTTCAATCTACCTCCTTAGATGCACAGGTAAACACCACTTGCTTACCAAAGGAGGCCAAAAGGCTGGCATTTTCGTAATCAAACTAATATTAGGGATAAACACACATCATCATAGTAATGTGTAAAAGCTTGGTACTTTTAATCCCTGACGCATTAGACATTGTGGAGTGGAAAAGCTGGCATTTTAAAGTCGATAATGATGCGAAAAAATACACTCGTCTGCAAAATTGACATTTTTTCTGTCAAATTACCTTTTCGTCTCTATGATAAATTGGACCCTCGTCAATAAGATTAAGTAATATTTTTAATGACCAGAGACTTCTTCCTTTACATATCTAGATCATAAGACTCTTATATCGTTGAAAGCGATCATATCACCTTCATTTGTGAAATATTACTGAAAGATCATTACTTCGTTCAGAATTTCAGTGTGGCTACAGGGTTCCATAGTCACACGCTGGATATGATCGTTGCTCTTGATACTAGCTCGTTAATGCAGAGTAAACCTAACGTTACAGACCTCCACCTATGTACGATTCTATTTGAACCCTATCTTGGATCATTTCTTCAAAGTCATTATATCTTCTCAGAGAACAAGGAAGACAGAATGACTTTGAAGAAATAAGTATTACTGGTTCGAAGAAATACAATAGTCCTTTAGTCACCGAGCGGTTGGAGTTTACATAAGCAGACACACACGGTAACAAAGATTGTTAATGTTATTCGGTTTGTTTGGTATTGATATGAAGATGACGTCTTCTGATCATGAGTGGCCACTATAAAGAGCACCCACTCTTACAGCCTGAACGCGGTGGTTTGGTTTGGTTTGGTTTTATTTTGTTTAACGTCCTAATGACAGCTGAGGTCATTTAAGGACGTGCTTCCATGTGTGTTGTATGCGTGCATGTGTATATGTATGCTGGAGATATGGTATGTTGGTGTATGTGCCTCCTTGTGATAGCGCGGTTCTGATGCCGACTTCACTGAATACCATGCCGAAAGCACCATGCACAGCATTCCGTCCGGTCACATTATACTGACAAAAGGGTGAATCAGTTGTTGCCATTAACCTAAATGCTGAACGTTAAGCAGGTAATAACACCTACCATTTTAACAGACTTTGGTATGTCCCGGCCTCGGGACAGAACCATTGCCTTACTCACATGGGCGTTCATCAGTAAAGCCAGTGTGGTATTGCCAAGCAAGGCGCTAGGAAATTAAAGGTAAAGTAGAAAGGAAGATAAAGATCCCAAATGTTGCAATGGAAACAGCAGATGTATTTTTGTCGCTTTTGTGTCCCCAAGTAGAGGGCACAAAAGCAAAGCCAATTCTGCAGGGGTTTCCGACACTAGTCGCCTCTTAAAATACACTTTTCACGTTCCCCGACCTGCAGCGGTGTTGGACACGGTGGCATTACATTCCATCCTGTCATATTTTATCAACAACCGGCATCACTGACACTGATTTAACACCATAGCTGATGAAGACACAGTAAGTGTATATTTAAGAATATAAGGAGGACAGACCATGAACCCTTCCTCGCCAAGCGGTCAACACCCACACCAAAAGAGAGGTATTGCCAAGCAATGAGCTAGAACAGCAAAACGTAGAAACGTAGGGGAAAATACAAAGATCAAAAGTCCTGAATTGGTTACAGCAGATTTCTGAAGAAAATGACAACCCTAATGTATAGAGGATATTAAGATCATATTGTTTGTGACAATGTTCTCGAAACTGCGCTTTTATATTATGACGATTTTGTTTGTTTATACTGGTGTGTTTTTTACAAGAAACAGAACCATCATGCTATTTTTTTATCTGCATTTTTATCTGACAATTTGATTATTAGGAGACTGGGGTTATGTGTGGGTGTATATATTTGATGTATATTCTCTAATCCGTGGTGATTTATGTTTAAGGCTTATCAATCATATTCAACAGTATATTACATGTAATTTAAGTGTACATACACTTAAGCATAGCTGAAGCAGGAGGGATTTCATTGGCAATTGGTACATAATGTAAATCTCATTTTAGATATGCTTTACCGGTCATTTATCTGATGGAAGTGACAGAGTCAAACCATTCTTACCATGGAAACATTACATATAAACATTATCTGGTTGTGTTAGGTGAACATGTTTAGAAATAGGAGGGATCGACAACGCCGCACCTTCCCATAAAGAAAAAACCACACCATGCACAGCTTAGGGAAAATATTTGATGCCCATGACTTAAGTCGAAGTGTATCGTTTTAAAAACATTTTGTGAAACTCATCACAATAGAAAATAGTAGCAATACCAGCATTTTTTTAAAAGAAAAAGTCACACATTCTCGATTCTGTGAATGATTTATCAGATAATGTCTTGAATAGTCAGAGTCAAATTCTGACGTCACATAAATAGCCTTGGTTTTCTTGGAAATTTGACAATGGTGTTAATGATCATTAAACCGATAACAATTACCGTGAACAGGAAGGAACAAGCTGTGTCCGATTCACTAACAGGCTACGTAATCAAATAATCGAACACCCTACCCAATGGCCTAAAATATGGAATTTTATTGATTGTCAACAATTATCAAGCATTGATCTTGTGTCACAACAGCCAGCAGTAATCGGCGGGCTATTTTCATTTGTCATTTAATATTTGAATGCAATGCTTCTTGCTTTTATAACACATCTGTCAAGTTGTTAACTGCAAAAGTATCCGGGTTNTTTTTTTTTTTTTTTTTTTTTTTTTTTTTTTTTTTTTTTTTTAAAGAATTCGACTTTTGATTGAATTATTATTTATTCCTTACGATTGTTAAATTTTGAAGGAAAACTAGCAAACAACGCTTAGTAAACAAAGAATAATTATCATTACTTCGCTTCTCGTGTGGAGCTATATCGTCTGCCTGCGTTCTAAAAAAGAATTACCAAGAAGATGAAACGGAAGTATCCGAAAACCACAGTTCGAAATCGAAATCGATAATATTATGGCAAAATATGAACAAATGAAAGATTCACACGGAGAACCATGGAAAAATCAAAGGAGAGTCTTTTGCCTCATCGAAGACACCGTCCATATATCCAAGCAAAGACTGTGCTAACATCGCGACCTCGGGTAATGACAACAAAACTACAAGGCAGACCAATCAGCTTAATATAAAACATTGACCTTCATATTTCACAATCAATAATCAATATGTCCCGATGCTGATATGACGGCCACCATAACACGTGTCCATAGCCTTATCAACCTGCATCTTTGGAAACCCTGTGTTGTAGGTTTGTCAATCAGCAGACGACATTCAACCAGGAAGTCATAATATTCGGAGCAACTTCTTGAAAACGGCTAAAGTAGAAGAGTCTGTATTGGCCTTGATTTTAAGCTCAGAAGGGTATAAACGATCAATGTGGTCAATAAAGTTCAATGTTATTCAAAA